AACCAGTAGTGGTTGGTGCTGAGGGATGCCCACCAATCCCATCGTGAAAGTCCCAACAGCTAAGTGTAAAATGCCAAGCACACACAGTGTCTACGTGACAGGGAAGCTGGATGGCCAAAGGTGCAACTTTGTCATAGATTCTGTATCTCAGCAAACCCTTGTGAGTATCAAGGTGCTGGATCACAAAGGTGTACCAGAAGCTGTACAGAAGCTCTGTGGTGTGACAGAACATTATGCAAGGTTGTGGGGACCAGTGTGGGTAACTATTGAGCTCATGGGCATAAAAGACAGACACAAAGTATACTTGGCTGACATTGAAGATCAATGCATATTAGGGTTGGACTACTTACTACCAAGGAAGTGTGTAATTGATTTTGATAAAATGACGTTTGGGAACAACAAAGGCAAAATTCCGGTAATTGTTAAAAGACAGGTTGAACTAACTAGGTGCCATCAAACTGAAGTCAAAGTGACTGAAAGAGTTGATGATGGTGAAATGGAACCAGGTATAGATATTAAATCATAGCAGGAGAAATACCAAGATTTGAAGTCATTAATTGATTTCCTAAAAGCAAGTGTTTTTCGCCCTGCTTGGGAGAAGGTGTCTAGTCTAAGCTCTGTGACAAAGAACTATTGGGCACAATGGGACCAGTTGAAATTTAACTTTTTTTTCTTTGTTGCTAAAGGACAAAGCTACACGATAAGCTATCTGCGCTTTGCTCTCCCTAAATCGTTTTGAAACCTGCAAACCTTCCATACCAGGACGTGTTACATACTAGATCGTTTTAAAACCTGCAAACCTTCCATACCAGGGCTTGTTACATACTAGATCGTTTTAAAACCTGCAAACCTTCCATACCAGGACTTGTTACATACTAGGTCGTTTTAAAACCTGCAAACCTTCCATACCAGGACTTGTTACATACTAGATCGTTTTAAAACCTGCAAACCTTCCATACCAGGGCTTGTTACATACTAGATCGTTTTGAAACCTGCAAACCTTCCATACCAGGACTTGTTACATACTAGATCGTTTTAAAACCTGCAAACCTTCCATACCAGGACTTGTTACATACTAGATCGTTTTGAAACCTGCAAACTTTCCATACCAGGACTTGTTACATACTAGATCGTTTTAAAAGAAATCAGATGGCTTTGAAGCAAAAAGCATGTCGATGTTCTCTTTAACCCCTTCCATATTTGCATACGTTTTTCCATTAAGATGATGTTGCAGCGAACAATAAAGATGGTAACCTGATGGTGCCATATCTGGAGGATATGGTGGGTGCGGGAGAACTTCCCAACCCAACTCCATAATCTTTTGTTGCGTCAAACGTGCCACATGTGGATGTGCATTGTCGTGGAGAAGAACACCTTTCCGATTGACAAGCGAAGAGCGTTTCTGATGAAGGGCTTGATTTAAACGTTCCAGTTGCTAACTATAGATCTCTGCATTGATAGTTCACTGTGGATTGAGGTGTCAGAAATGAATTACTCCTTTGATGTCCCACCAAATGCAAAACATCACTTTCTGCGGATGGAGTCCAAGTTTTTGGGTCGGAAGTGGTTTTTGTCTAGGATTGAGCCATTGTTTTCGGCGTTTAATATTCGCATAGAAAATCCATTTTTCATCACCGATGACAATTCTGTCCATAATTGGTTCATGCGCATTACGCGTCAGAAGAGACGAAGCAACGTTCACACATTGGAAACGAAGATCATCGGGGAGTTCTTGAGGCCCCTAAACACCTTCTTTATGGAGTTTTTCCATATTCCTTAGATGTTTACGTATTGTTTCATGAGTGACATGCAATTTCAGGGCCATTTCACGAGTGTGTTGCCGTGGGTTAGACTCAACAAGCGTTTTCAGAGCATCAATATCAATTCGAACATATCGGCCCCTGCCATCACAGTTTTTTAAGGCTAAACTCACCTGAACGAAATTTGCTGAACCATCGTTGACACTTACGAATGTTCAAAACATTTCCATAAACTTCTCTAATATTCTTTGTGGCTACAGAGGCGTTGTTTCTCTTCTTCTATTCAAACAGCATCACATGCCGAATGTGTGTCTCGTCGTGTGCATAACTATAAGGGATTAGAGTATACTAAACTTTACACGTTATATAGGCTACACTAACGTGACGTCTAGGTGGTTCGTTTAACTATTATACATGATGTACGTTCTTTGGGAGGTGGTTAATGAAAATGATCCAAAACGCGACATGAATTTCTTGACGACCTAATATTACTAACTGATAGTCTCCATCATTAGATATTTCCAAGAAGTGAATATTGATATTCTATCTATTACTAACGGACAGTCTTCTCAATGAGATATTTTAAAGCATTGAAGACTGACAATCTATCTACCACTAACTGACAGTCTTCAACATGTGGTATTTCAAAGGAGATGATACTGACGATCTATCTGTTACCAACTATTAGTAAATAACAGTCTTAACCATATGCAATTTCCAGTCATGGAAGACCGACAATCTATATATCACTAACTGGCAGGTTCACCTTGGATATTTCCCAGGAGAGAAGACTAACAACCTCTCTATTACTAACTGACAGACTGCATCATTAGATATTTCCAATAAGTAAAGACTGACGATCTATGTGTTACTAACTGTGAGTTTTCACAGTGAAACATTTAAAAGCAATGAAGACTGGTAATTTATAACTAACTTACCGTCTTGACCAACAGAAATTTCTAAGAAGAAAATACTAACAATATATTTATTACTGACGGAGAATCGTCACCGTGAGACACCTCCAAGCAGAGAAGACTAACAATATATTTATTACTGACAGACTGTTTTCACCATGAGGTTTTTCCAAGAAGTGAAAACTGGCAATCTATATATTACAAACTGACAGTTTTCAAAATTATTTATTTTCAAGCAGAGATGATTGGTGATCTATTTTCACTAAATGACAATATTCATAATGAGATATTTCCAAGCAGTCGAGATTAACAATCTTTCCATTATATATTAATAGTCTTTACAATGAGAAATTTCATAGCAGAGAACACCATAAATCTATCTATTACTCACTGTTAGTCTTCCTCGTGTAATATTACCAACTAGTGAAGACTGACAACCTAACTATTACTCACTGTTAGTCTTCCTCGTGTAATATTTCCAACTAGTGAAGACTGACAATCTAACTATTACTCACTGTTAGTCTTCCTCGTGTAATATTACCAACTAGTGAAGACTGACAACCTAACTATTACTCACTGTTAGTCTTCCTCGTGTAATATTTCCAACTAGTGAAGACTGACAATCTAACTATTACTCACTGTTAGTCTTCCTCGTGTAATATTACCAGCTAGTGAAGACTGACAATCTATCTATTACTCACTGTTAGTCTTCCTCGTGTAATATTACCAACTAGTGAAGACTGACAATCTAACTATTACTCACTGTTAGTCTTCCTCGTGTAATATTACCAACTAGTGAAGACTGACAATCTAACTGTTTGCCAGTTTCTACATCTTGGAAATTTCTCATGGTATAGACTGTCAGTCAGTAAAAGATAGATTGTTAATTTTCTGTGTTTGGAAATATCTCGTGGTGAAAACCGTCAATTAGTAATAGATAGTTTATCAATATTCGCTGTTTAGAAATATCTCAGTATGAAGACTGTCATTTAGTAATGGATAGATTGTCAGTCTTCACTAGTTGGTAATATTACACGAGGAAGACTAACAGTGAGTAATAGTTAGATTGTCAGTCTTCACTAGTTGGTAATATTACACGAGGAAGACTAACAGTGAGTAATAGATAGATTGTCAGTCTTCACTAGTTGGTAATATTACACGAGGAAGACTAACAGTGAGTAACAGCAACAGTAATTAAATAAACGTTCTACATAATTAAATCAAAGCTATATAGCTTGATATATCTCAAGGTGAAGTCTATCAATAATAGATAGTTCTATATGAGATAGTAAATGATTTTATTGTGTTGAGACAGTAAATGATTTTATTGTTTAACAATACTAATTAAATAAACGTTCTACACAAAACAGTAAACTATTTTATTGTATAACAACAATAATTAAATCAACCATAGAACGTTGATTTAATTATTGTTGTTATACAATACTATTTAATTAGTATTGTTAAACGATAAAATCATTTACTGTCTCACATAGAACATTGATTTAATTATTGTTGTTACACAATAACATGGTTTACTGTTTTGTGTAGAACGTTTATTTAATTACTATTGTTAAACAATAAAATCATTTACTGTCTCATATAGAACGTTGATTTAATTATTGTTGTTACACAATAAAATAGTTAATGGAACTTCAAGGGCCTCGATGTGACACATTACCTTAAAAAATTCCATTCACTCTAGCGCTTAGAATCCTTTTGTTACTGCTAACGACGTGTATTTCATAGTTTTGTATTTAATGATACCTTGATCTTGTTTTACTCAGAGAGGAGTTTATTTTCTCTATATAAGCGCCTAATTAAGCCTAACGGTATCACCCCTTTTCATTGTCTTTAACAAATTTTTCCAAGAACCTAATCAAAGAAAATGCCGCTTTTCTTAACGAAACTTCTCTTTGTAGGACGAAACCTGTGAAGTTTAGAAGCTTAATGATTCGACTAATCGCTGGAAGACAAGCTTATGTCCATTATCATCCTCAATCGATCTGGACAGGATCGCACGCTACGTCTTCACTATTTTTTTTTCTGTTACACTGTCTAATCTACGGTGGAATCAACAGACTGTATCGACTTTAAAGCTACACCTACTTTTTTAGTCTATAAGGCGTTTTTCATGATATAAAAGAATGTTTATTTTAAATATTATAGATCAATTTATTTTTATGAGTGAATATTTTATTATTGTTTAGTTTTCGTTATAATAAGAGTTAAAAGCTGATGATTGTAGGAAGTTGTGTTTATAAGTCATTGTTGCTGAGACTATCAAACGTCTCGTGCAATGCATTGACGTCGAGAATATAGAGATTTCTAGAAGGCAGACAGACGATTAAGTGATAAACATATAAATACTATGAGATAAGTGGAAACAGCAGACAGACAGTAAAGTTACGGGCAAGGAAAAGTTTGGCGTGAAGTTAGCTATCGTAGAAGTGATAGGCCTAACGACTGACATAGGCTTAACGTTTAATATGTTAGAGTAAGACTAACAGTAGAAAAGGAGATAAGAATAATAATTTATTCCATCAAAGCTTGGTTCTAAAGTAAATGAATCAGCTTGAGTGTACTTTGACAAAAGGAACAGAAGATATTTTGAAAAAAAAGACCAAACGATTACGGTAACTCGCGCCACAACTGTAAGTGAATCCCACACGGAATACTATTGCGATAGTAATAGAGAAGATAGTTCGGCTTGTCAACTGAAATTATAAAGTAATTGAGTAGGCCTAAGTGGACTTTTGACAACAAGAAGAGAGCTATATATATATATATAG